ACGGAGGGAGTAGAACTAGTGCGTGCGGTCAGTTACTTTTCCTACAAGGAGATGCCGCGAGCTATGCTGTGATCTGGTTATCACGCACACGTTCTCTCCATACTGTTCATTTCAAGTGATTCTTTCTGCGCTTTCCTGTCTAACTTTTGCTCTGTTGTGCGTGCTGTTTTTTGCTGTGCGCTGGATTTGGCAAACAGGTGAACGTGGAGCCTGTCAGGTAGTAATAAGTCAGTAGTATGAGGTGAACCACGTCCTTTCACATGCACTTTTTTGCCCCAAGATAGAGAGAAGCCAGGTAGGCAGCAGGGCAGGATGCCGTGTCTGATTCCTAGCGTCGACTTTTGTGTTGGCCCTTTTGAGTGCCATGCTTCCTCGCCCGTCAGCTTCCACATGCGCCCACCAATGATCTGCTCCACAAGGAGAGGAGCCAAACAAACCCAAGAACAAATTTTAACACAAGTAGCAGTAGTACTTCTTAAATCCTTGCGCTTGAAAATTGAGATCGTACTCCTACTATTTAACTATATTTTCACACGCTTTAAAACAGGCTTTAGCTTCATGGTGGTGATTCTAACATGTTGCCATGGTCGATGAGGTGGAATTTCTGATTAGATTACGAGATGCATTTTCGGTCTTTTCTTTTGGGGCGCCGCTGGCCTTGGATCCAAGTTAAAAAAATCATGAATGATGATGCGATCGTGGCATAGCATAGCAGAGGTTTGGGACACGGGCATAGGATCCCCCTGTAGAATCTTGTAGATGGATGGTTGGAGAGGGATGGATGTTTATTGCCGCCGGGGAGGGGAGGCAGCGCACGTTGCGCCCTCGTGCCGTGCACGGGGCGCAGGCGACACTGCTGTGTTTACACTCACCAGTACGTGGTACGCGGGCGGCATGGCATTGGCATGGGGGGCAGCCTCTACTGTGCTTTTATACTAGCCATCACGTACGCAGGCCGGCAGTGGCTCGAGCAGCTAGCTAGCTATACACCGTACGTGCATACGTATACGTACACTCACCAGCGCATGCGTACGCCACACTACACGCGCGCGCGCACGCTCCCGTCTCGTCCGTGCGGCGCGCGGTTGGCACGCACCACCCACCCCGCCGGCCCAGTCAGCCGGCTGCAGATCGGGGCCGGCGTGACTGCTGCCGGTGCCGGCGCCGGCCTCCTCTCGTGCTGCGCATCGAATGCTGCAGATCGCTTTTGCCTGCCTGCCTGCCTGCCTGCCTGCCTGCCTGCATCTGCATGAATCTCGCACAACTGCAACGCTCCAAGAAACGACGTGACAAAGATATCTACCCCCAGTACGGTTTAGTTACACTTACACGCCTCCTCCTCTGACAGATTCATCTCAGCCGTACGTTTGTGGTCACTGCATGCACGGCTGGGGTCTGACTAGGTGTACAGCCAAGATCGAGAATTGACAGTGGGAGAAGAAAAAAAATTCAGATGAAACATCATGTAAATTCATAATGCATATTATGAACTGAAGAAGATGGAGATCGTGTTCGTGACATAAATAAATAAATTCATAATGGAAAAGGCAAAATAATATTAAGTAAAAAAGGAAAAAATATATATGTCAGAAGTGGGGTTCGAACCCACGCCCTCGTAAGAGGACCAGAACTTGAGTCTGGCGCCTTAGACCACTCGGCCATCCTGACTTGATGTTTACTACTGTGGTCAAGTCCTATATGTATGTATCATGTACCATGTAACTCTTTAGCTTAACTATCAACAAAGGGAGACATCACAGGAAAATTCGAATCTGAGCCCGAGCTCATCTGCACCTGTGCTTACGAAAAAAATCAAAATAAATACAAGAAAAATTCAAAAAGTTCCAAATTTTTTTTGGGTGGTGGACAATTTGATGCGTGAGGTACGCTCCAATTTTCAAAACATTTGGACTTCTGTGCAGCTCTCAGCAAAAAAGACAAATCGGAGGTCTGTAAAAATATGTAATGTTCATATACTGTTCTAGTCTGATTTGTCTTTTTTGTTGAGAGCTTCATAGAAGTCCAAATGTTTTGAAAATTGGAGTGTACCTCACGCATCAAATTGTCTATCACCCAATTTCTTTTTAGAATTTTTTACGATTTTTTTTTGACCGGGTGCAGATGCACCCGGGCACCGAAACGCCGTTCTCGACATCACACGATAAAGATCGATCTTTCCTAGGAGTGCAGCATTATTCGCATGCTCAACTACATGATCGCACGCCAACAATGTCATGAACAGTTCCCAGGATGAAGAGCGCAAAAGAAAATAGGTTGAAGTAAGGAGCCATTCCAAAATATACTAGTATAGCACACTGATCTTGCAGTCACAGCATGATATTCGTTTGTTCAAAAATTCCGCGACATGATCTACACTTTGTTGTTACAAAATAACATATGAAAACACAAGTTCAAAAGGCGATTCGCAGACACCCGGCTTGAGCAGCGTCGATGGATGGACTGCAACCAATGGATGATTCTCTGCAGATACGAATACATGAATTAGAAGGATTGTCGTTACCAGCAAAACTCTGAAATACACTATGTAAGCAAGCAGACTTTTAGCAGACCATGTATTTTCGCAATTAGTGTTTCTAAATACAGTTCCGTGTTCTTTTACTGCCTATCAAACACATATAGCGATTCTCTAAATCATGTCCTTAATAAATAACACTTGAGAAAAACTAACATGTACAGAGTCAAGATAATGAAACAGTCTATTTCAAGAATGAAAAATAATGACAATTTGGTGATACTATAAAAGGGATTCACTTCACCTAGACAAGTTCGATGTAAGCCATAGGTGCATTATCTCCCCGCCTTGGGAATGTCGGGATGATCCTTGTGTAGCCCCCATCTCTTTCCCCATACCTGTCTGGAACCTCAGCAAACAATGCATGGACTATGTGCTTCTCATAGATATACCCCAGGGCCTGCCTCCTCTTGTGAAGAGATCCATCCTTCGCCATCGTGATCATCTTGTCAACCCACTTCCTCATCGCCTTTGCCCTTGGCTTGGTAGTCTTTATCCTCCCGTGCTTCAGCAGCTGTGTGGTCAGCCCACGCAGGAGTGCTTTCCGCTGATCTGCGGGCCTGTTGAGCCTAGGAATGCGCTTCCCGTGCCTCATCGCCAATATCCTTCCACGGACATCAATGCCAAACAGTCGGTGAGCAAAGCTCGATTCCACTGCAATGTTTTGAGAAAGGTCAGTGAATGTTTTCATTGTGAAATTCATAGGAAAGTCTCAAAAAACATCCTAATCTTATCTTTAGCGTGACTGGCTCAAGACCTTTAAGACTGATCTGACATATTTGGCATGTAACAACCGAAGCTTTTAATTTCTCCAGGACATACTTATATTGTTTGAGATTTGTATGGTGTGGTCAATCAGTTAGGTGATATTTGACATACTAAGGAAAACTAGCTTTTAGGCAAATTTAAGGTGATAAAACCATTTTTCTATTCATGATAATATTTGTTCGCTTAATTAGCAAGATAAACAATTATGCATGGAACGACAAGTTACTTCACCATTCAAAGCTCTTCTGCCCTTCCGATTCCACAAGTCCATGTTAAAAGCGTTTCCAAAATACAGCTAAACCAGTTTATATTAATTATGACTTCCTTTTTTTTCCTCATGACCACAAGGGATAAAATGGCAGCATCACAATTTGAAGCACCACAATGCATTCAAGCATCATCGTTGTTAAACAGATGGAGAAAGTGAAAGGAACAGAGCCACAATACAATGGGTGCAAATGTCGAGGAATCTGTTGGTCAAAATAAGTACCCAATTTGCCATCTGTTTGGTTCATTGTTATCTCCTAGTATTTGTAACTGCCAAACAAATTGCCAACGTATGCTCCAATACATATATGACACGAGTAACGAAATGGATAATAGGATAAATACTCTTACAAAAAACGAGAGAAATTGTCAATTGTTCAATACATTGTTGAGGATTTAATGAGTTGAGCATCCTTGAACACTGAAACCCAATTCTAAAGCTACAGACCATCTGAAAGGTCATCAGAAAGTAAATAAATAAACGATGTGCCCCTGATACTACAATATGGAACCCAGGTGGCCACGGAGAATGAATAATATGCAGCTTGTCCAGTTGAAGAATTTTTTGGATTGGCGGCTGGTGAATTTTAGCATTTGTGACACTCGAGTGTCCAAACTGAAACTGTGCGTAAATAAGCAGCATTTACGGCCACAATCGGGCTCAAACGTAAGGGCCGGAAAACGAGGAGGTCTCACCGGAGAACGAGGAGGTGTACGAGAAGGCGAGCGACGCCGAGGCCGCGGAGGACATGGGGGCGGGGGAGACGGAGGACGAGGAGGGGGACGTGGAGACGAAGGAGCTCCGGAGGAACGGGGCGGCGGAGGCCGCCTGCCTGCGAGGCCGGACGGCCGCCGACGGGGAGGGGCGGAGCGCCGGGAGCGCGGCGCGGAGGGAGTCCATGCGCCAGGCCGAGGCGGAGATCGCCGGCGAGGGGGAGGTGGAGGCGAAGGCCGCCATGGGGGAGGGGAAGGAGAGCGAGCGAGCGGAGCGGAGGAGGGGTGTGGGTTTGGCTGGAGAGGGGTGGCGACGCCGCTCGGCTTTGAAGCGGATAACGTTTGGATTTCTGCTGCCGATTGGGTTCCGCTGGGCCGGGCTGGGATGGACGGGCCCAGTATATGGATATGGGCAACTCGAGAATGGGCCCTTGATGACGCCCAAAATGTTGTTTATTATAGTAACCCTCTCAATTGTGTCAAAAAAAAGTAACCCTCTCAAAAAAATAAAACGGAGAGAGTTATAGTAAAAGCACCTTGCATGTTATCACTCGATAATATTCAGACATGGCGAAATGGAGTGCCGATACAAGCATCAAAGATAACAATCCAGGTTACACGCCCATTATTTAACCGGTGCAGTAATTTATCTCTTATTTGCTAGTGCTTCTGGTGTAACTAAATGTAAAAGGCGCATGTGTCGCCACAAGGGCAATTGTTACTCATGAGGAGGACCCGGTGCCTTGGGGTGGTGGTTGTGGTTTGGGTTCGGTCCCGAAACAGGAAGTGGCCTCCATGGTGACATGTTGTCGGCTTCCCTCGCCTTCTCCATCGATGCCGGCGGTGGGGCCTTGCGTCGTCGATGATGGTTGGATTGCAGAGTTAGGGTGGGCTGATTATGTATGGACTTCGATCCAGAAGGAACCGGCCTCGGCGTCATGATATCGCCTTCCCATGCCTCCTCTGTTGATGCAGGCGGTGGGGCATAACATCGATGATGATGGTGGGGTTTCGGCGCCGGGGCGGGAAAGTGATGTATAGGGTTCGAACCAGAAGGAACCGGCCTTGGTGCCACCATGAAACCTTCCCTCACCTCCTCCATTGATGGAGGAGGCCTGTGGGGAGGACGATGGTGTATAGGGTTTGGCCCGAAAGGAACAGGCCTCGGTGCCACCATGACACCTTCCCTCGCCTCCTTCGTTGATGAAGGAGGCCTGTGGGGAGGACGATGGTGTATAGGGTTTGGCCCGGAAGGAACGGGCCTCGGTGCCACCATGACACCTTCCCTCGCCTCCTCCGTTGATGGAGGGGGCCTGTGGGGAGCCGGGGCGGGAGGACGATGGTGTATAGGGTCTGGCCCGGAAGGAACGGGCCTTGGTGCCACCATAATGCCTTCCCATGCTTCCTCCTTTGTTGGAGGAGACATGTGGGGCGGCGGGGAAGGGATAACCGGTAATGGGTCGCCGGGCATGTCCGGCGGGGGCAGGATAACCGGTGCTGGATCACCAGTCATGTGCCGCGCGGAAGATGGCGTGGAAAAGAGCATTAGCGACAAGAAGAGCACAAGGAGCGCATGAGTGCTCTCGTGCATGGCAGCCATGGCTATGTATCTTGGCTACTTCTTGCAACCTGTTGCTGTGTTGTGTGCTCACTCTTAGGGAGTGGGCGAAATATATAGAGGGCCTCATTTGAGATTAATTGGCGACCAATTAATGAGATGCTTATCTCTAGTAAGATAAACATGCAACTAGTAAATGGGATGGATGGATATCCGGCATTCTCGGCGGTCAGCAAGAGAAACGCCTTCACTTTACCCAGCATTAACGGGCAAAGAGACGTAAAATATGCATTGTTACCAAGACGCGTTCCACTTTAACATGCATATACTATGTATTGTCTTCACTACCGACGCTTGCTGAAGAAGAAAAGACACTCGTATCCGGATGTGAACTCCCAACTCAGGCAATTATTGCTAGCAAAAGCAAACGAGTTAATTCAACTACTCCACATGTATACTACGGATGTAATCAAACGCTTCTTCAGATTTTATCTCTGGATGTTCTCCGGGATAAACATACTCCCTCCGTCCCAAAATTTGTTTAAATAGGATGTGTCAAGTCATGTTTTAGTATTAGTTACACCCGTATCTAGATAAATTTAAGATAAGAATTTTGGGACGAAGGGAGTAGTAGTTATATATCCATGAAACCCTCCCACGTTGGTCGTTTGTAATACTCGCTATTTTTGCACCAGACGTGTGTTGGCAACACAACCGACCCATTATGCAAGACCCGAAGAACAAGATACACATGTACAGGTGTACTATACCACTAGCCTACTATGCGAAACTGAACATTTCATACAACATGTTTCGGTCTACCACGAAAGCTTAGTTGCGTCTACGTTACAATGCAAGGCCTAGAACCAAACAGCCCCTACATCGCCAAACTCTGCATCTTCCTACATGAGCTTGCGTTGCAGGAGGAGCTATGGTGCTACTATGCCAACGCAATGCAAATTAGTTCTAAGGGCATCTCCAATGCCGACCCTCAAACAGACCGAATATGTCTGGACCACATTGTTCGGACGTGTTGTGTCATCCAACGCAGTCCTGTATCGGTTTGCCAGGTGGTCCAGACGCGTTTTTCTCCGCAAACCAGAGACAAATTAGGAGGGGCTTTGCGGGCATCCGAACCGCTGTCAAGTCCACTCCTGACCGCCTTGGCCCACAAAAAATTCAACCAGCCTCTCCCGCGCTTTCCATCGAACGCCAGCGTCGCATTCATACCGGCTCAGAGCATGCAATGGCCAGCATTGATGCCCACAATTTGACCGGATAGGATGATGGCGGAGATGGATTCGACCTCTCACTGCCGGCATTGAAGCGGCACGCCAGCTGAGAGTGCACCACCCGCTGCTCGCCTGACCGAACACGGCTCCTCGCTGCATTCGAACGGCCACAGACTGCCCGCCTTCCTCTATTAAAACCCACACACATGCCGAGAAATCTACTCCGGCCACATGTCCGTTCGTGAGTCACCCGTCATTAAACACAAAGCCGGTTGAATCCAGCCGTCCGTCTGGTATTTAAACGATGCCAGACACCGGGCAAAAATTGCACCACACTCCGCTCCCATCTCCTATTTACATCATTTTCTCCATAATCTCCATGGCATCCGGCGAGCGGGAAGAGGAGTTCTCCGGCATAAAAGCCGGCTGGGTGGCCTTTTGACCCGCCGGATACGAGCCAGGCAACTCTCTGCTCCATCACCCTTGACGCCCCAACCCGCCGCAAACCGGCTCACGCATGAAGAAGCTCCAAGCCGGCGTATCGTTCAACAACTCGTCGCTCCAAGCCAGCTCGCCGAGGACGGGCGAGTTGCTCCAAGCCGGGACCGAGGGAGCACGACAGCACAGGTATCGTGGCTGTCGTGGATGGAGCTGTGTCATACGCTCCTCCCGTGCCCGCGACCTCCATTCGCCGTCAACGTACGTGTACCGCGCCCTGCTGGCGGAGAAAGAAGCCAACATCACGGAGATGGATGAAACAGTGGCCAGCACGTCCGCGCCAGCCGCCATCATCAAGGAGAAGTAGAACATGAGAGGCCACCTCCGCTTGGGGTCCCATGAAGGCCACCACCGTGGCGATGCCGGCGTACATAGCCGGTGTCTTGTCCAGTCACAGGCCACCGTCGTTCCCTTCCCCTACGGCTGAAGCACATCAGGGCGGTTCCACTCCGATAAGCGATGCTAACGAACATGGGGAAGCGAGTCACCCTTTGCACCAAAGCATATACCTTTGGGGCTCACGGCAGTCCGACGAGCGGGCTGCCAGACATGGGAAATACAATGGAGATCTGCCACGGCCGGTCGTAGACTAGTCAAGGTATCTGTGTTGTCAGAATGGATATTTGCGGGGCCGGCCGTAGACTAGCTTTACCTTAGGCCAGTATAATTTTTAGTTAAAAATTGTCCAGAATGAAATGAATTTCGTCAGACTTATATGAAATCAGAAGTGTTTGCATGAATTTCGTCAAGTTAGTTCAAACAATGGTTGAAATATATGCGGGCAGGGCGGATAGATGCCGCAGCACGACTGGTGCCATGCGTCCGGTTTACATGTTTAACTAGGTGTAGTAATCCATCCCTTATTCCGCTAGTGATTCCGGTGTAACTAAACATAAAAGGTGTATGTGTCGCCAGTGGGGAAACCATCACGCCTGAGGTGGAGCCAGCCGCAGGGCATGACGCCGATGATGATGGTGGGAATGCGATGCCGGGGCGGGAGTTTCATGATGTATGGGGTCTAGTCCGGAAGGAACCGACATGGGTGCCACTATGAGGCCTTCCATCACCTCGTCCATCGATGAAGGCTGCCGGGGATGATGTATGGGGTCCGGCCCAGAAGGAACTAGCCTCGGCACTGCCATGGGGCCTTCCATCGCCTCGTCCATCGATGAAGGCGGCCGGGAATGATGTTGAAGGAAATATGCCCTAGAGGCAATAATAAAGTTATTATTTATTTCCTTATTTCATGATAAATGTTTATTATCCATGCTAGAATTGTATTAATCGGAAACATAATACATGTGTGAATACATAGACAAACATAGTGTCACTAGAATGCCTCTACTTGACTAGCTCGTTAATCAAAGATGGTTAAGTTTCCTAACCATAGACATGAGTTGTCATTTGATTAACGGGATCACATCATTAGAAGAATGATGTGATTGACTTGACCCATTCCGTTAGCTTAGCACTTGATCGTTTAGTATGTTGCTATTGCATTCTTCATGACTTATACATGTTCCTATGACTATGAGATTATGCAAATCCCGTTTACCGGAAGAACACTTTGTGTGCTACCAAACGTCACAACGTAACTGGGTGATTATAAAGGAGCTCTACAGGTGTCTCTGAAGGTACATGTTGGGTTGGCGTATTTCGAGATTAGGATTTGTCACTCTGATTGTCGAAGAGGTATCTTTGGGCCCTCTCGGTAATGCACATCACTATAAGCCTTGAGAGCAATGTAGCTAATGAGTTAGTTAAGGAATGATGCATTACGGAACGAGTAAAGAGACTTGCCGGTAACGAGATTGAACTAGGTATTGAGATACCGACGATCGAATCTCGGGCAAGTAACATACCGATGACAAAGGGAACAACGTATGTTGTTATGCGGTCTGACCGATAAAGATCTTCGTAGAATATGTAGGAGCCAATATGAGTATCCAGGTTCCACTATTGGTTATTGACCGAAAACAGTTCTAGGTCATGTCTACATAGTTCTCGAACCCGTAGGGTCCGCACGCTTAACGTTACGATGGCAGTTTTATTATGAGTTTATAAGTTTTGATGTACCGGAGATTGTTCGGAGTCCCGGATGTGATCACGGACATGACGAGGAGTCTCGAAATGGTCTACACATAAAGATTGATATATTGGAAGCCTATATTTGGATATTGGAAACGTTCCGGGTGAAATCGGGATTTTACCGGAGTACCGGAAGGTTACTGGAACCCCCCCGAGGGTTAATGGGCCTATATGGGCCATGAGGGAGAAGAGGAGGTCCGGCCATGGCAGGCCGCGTGCCCCCTCCCCCCTAGTCCGAATAGGACAAGGAAGGGGGGGGGGCGACGCCCCCCTTTCCTCTTTCCCCTCCCCCCTTTCCTTCTCCACCAAGGCAAGAGGGGGGAGTCCTACTCCCGATGGGAGTAGGACTCCTCCAGGCGCTCCCCTAGGGGGCCGACCGCACCTCCCCGTTCCTCCTTTATATACGGGGGCAGGGGCACCCCATGACACACAAGTTGATCTTCGTGATCGTTCCTTAGCCGTGTGCGGTGCCCCCCTCCACCATATTCCAATTGTTGCGGTGCTTAGGCGAAGCCCTGCGTCGGTAGAACATCATCATCATCACCACACCGTTGTGTTGACGGAACTCATCCCCGACACCCTGCTGGATCGGAGTTCGGGGATCGTCATCGAGCTGAACGTGTGCTGAACTCAGAGGTGCCGTACGTTCGGTGCTTGGATCGGTTGGATCGTGAAGACGTACGACTACATCAACCGTGTTGTCATAACGCTTCCGCTTTCGGTCTACGAGGGTACGTGGACACACTCTCCCCTCTCGTTGCTATGCATCACCATGATCTTGTGTGTGCGTAGGAATTTTTTTGAAATTACTACGTTCCCCAATAATGGTATCAGAGCCTAGGTTTTATGCGTTGATGTTATTTGCACGAGTAGAACACAAGTGAGTTGTGGGCGATACAAGTCATACTGCTTACCAGCATGTCATACTTTGGTTCAGCGGTATTGTTGGATGAAGCGGCCCGGACCGACATTACGCGTACGCTTACGCGAGACTGGTTTTACCGCCGTGCTTCGCACACAGGTGACTAGCGGGTGTCTGTTTCTCCAACTTTAGTTGAACCGAGTGTGGCTACGCCCAGTCCTTGCGAAGGTTAAAACATCACTAACTTGATAAACTATCGTTGTGGTTTTGATGCGTAGGTAAGAACGGTTCTTGCTCAGCCCGTAGCAGCCACGTAAAATTTGCAACAACAAAGTAGAGGACGTCTAACTTGTTTTTGCAGG